AATTTTGTAAATCCAACCGTTAGATTGAAAGTTCATATCACTTTATATGTTTATATCAAGTTTTGTTAAAATTGAACAACAACTTGAAGGTAATCAAAATGCTCATATTTTAGTATATTTTGAAATGTATATATTACATCAATTTTATTTTACAAGAATGAAGTATCAAATCATCTTGAATTCATATAAAATTTTGTATATATGATCTAAGAGTAAAAAACTTTCAATCTAACAGTTGAATTTATAAAATTCACATTTAATATAAAGTTATTTAGCAATGTAATACTTAGTAAAAGTTACAACGGTGTTATTATAACCCTTCTCTTTTAAAATATTATTTTTATAAATTAAATTTTAACATTTTAAATAAATTATTCATTAACTTAATATATTTATTCATCTTAAATCTAAGATATAAAATTTAAAAAATGTATTTATCCTTGTTTTATTTTTCTAATTATCAACCATTAATAAAATACTAATTTAAAATCTTATCAAGTTATATCATAATATTTTCATATCAAGTTTAAAAATAGATATTAATTAGTTATAAAATATGTTAATTTGTGTTGGGATTTTATTTCAACATGAAACTTTAAAATAAATGTGCGAATAAAAAAAACTCTGTTAATTAAAACGGTCACATGCATATTCTATTTGATAGAGAAAAAAACAAGAAAACACATTGTGATATATTAAAAACTGATCAAAAAGAACAAGCGGATGATTTGCCCAATTTGTTAAGGGGGAAGACTTAAGATTTTCTTCACGTAAGTATGTGTGTGGATTTGAGTTCTACTACTAGTAATTTTAGCCTTTTTAAATAAAGGAGGTGTATATATCATAAGTTAAATACTATGAACATCTTTGAGTAAATTAAAATCAAAAGATAATAATTTTTTTAAATTACTAAAAAATATTTCATTTTATAATTTCTTTCACAAATTCTTACTAATTTTTGTATAAGTCAATTGCTTTTAAATAATGAAACTAACACGATTATATCAATTGAATTAAATGGTTAAGTCTAACTTTTAAAATAACAATTGAAATAAAATAAGATTCATGAAAATAATTTCAAAATATATTAGGTAAATAATTTTTATATATAATAAAATATTAAACATGATAAAAGAGAAATAAATTTCTCAAGAGAAAAATAAATAAATTTTCTAGATAAATTATTATTTAAATTAGTCTAATCAATTAAAAAGATTATTATTTAATTTTCTTTCATAGCATTATATTTCTCATTTTTTTAATACATCATATTAATTATCTATTTTAAATTATATAATTTTTATTATTTTAAAAAATAAATTAATTTTATTGGGAGGGTAATGATTTTTATTTCTTATCATTAATATTTTTAACATTAAAAAAATAATATTATATATTATTATATTTCCTTTCATTTAAAAGAAATATATTTTTAAAATTTTTAAAAAATTTACATTCGACCGATTTTAATTTGATTGCTAAAATTATTATAAATAATAATATTTTTACTTTTTTAGCGACCGATTTTAATTTGGTCGCTAAAATTATTATAAATAATAATATTTATTATTTTTTAGTGACCAATTTTAATTTGGTCGCTAAAATTATTATAAATAATAATATTTTTTTATTTTTTTAGTGACCAATTTTAATTTGGTCGCTAAAATTATTATAAATAATAATATTTGTATTTTTTTAGCGAACGATTTTAATTTGGTCACTAAAATTATTATAAATAATAATATTTTTTATTTTTTAGCGACCGATTTTAATTTAGTCGCTAAAATAATTATAAATAATAATATTTTTTTATTTTTTTAGCGACCAATTTTAATTTAGTCGCTAAAATTATTATAAATAATAACTTTCTATTTTTTTAGTGACCAAAACCGTTCCGTTGCTATTTTAACCAATAATTATTATTTTAGCGACCAATTTAGCGATTGATTATTGGCCACTTGAAAATTCGGTCGCTAAATAAAATTTGCAACCAAATCAGATTCGGTCACTAATTATGTCGCTATTAGCGACGAAAAAAAATTAGTCTCTAATTTCGGTGGCTAAATTGAGTTTTTCTTGTAGTATTGAAGAAACTTTTTTCATTCGATCAATTAAGGAAGCATGTAGACAAAGATGATTTTTGTTTTCAAACATCATAAATGATATAAATACAAAGCATTTGTCTTACAAATAAAGTGCTTCGTCTTTGAGACTTAATGTCA